GTGGGTGTGTTGTGGTGTTAACCCTTCCTGGTCCAGGATAAGGCCAACCACCTTCAAAGAGATGAATGTTTTCATATGCCCTAATAAGGTATGTTTTAAAGCTGCTCAGAAGCATGAATCTTCAAAGGGAGGCAGCCAGAAAAGCATGTGGCCAAATCAATTTTCAGGCAGGGACTACAGCATATGAACAGGCCCTACTAACTTTATTACTGGGTCCATCTACATGAGACGCTTTACTGCACATTAGACTAATCTAATGTACAGTAAAGTGTCACCGTCTTAACATTCAAAACAATTACTGCACAGTAGATTAGTCTAATGCACCACTTTCTAGTACCTGTAGATACACTGATTTCTAGCGTATTAAACTAATGCACCAAAGTGCATATGTAGATGCTGACTGGGAGCAAATTGCTCCTAGGCAGCAGGGGGCCACAAAGGGTGGGGATAGCTGTCTCAGCTTGGCAGGACACTGCCTGACAGCCACATGGACATCAGGACCCATGCTGATCTCCATGTGTCTGGGAGAGCTGCCCCAGCAGCTGGGTCCCAATTTCCACATAGCTGGCAGGTGGCTTCTCAAGAGCTGGAACAGCTCTCCTCCCGCCCCCCACCCTGCCCCAGAAATAGGGACCAGCCCCGAGCCCCTTGCCAGCCCAGGGCTGGCACTCAGGGGAGCCTGCAGCTTCCTCTGGCTGCTGCATGGGGGCAGGACAGGTCAGGACCAGCCCTAGACTGAATTGCTCCTTTTGGGAGCAAATTTGTTTCTGAAGGGCATATGTTCAGATGTGTGTGGGGGTGCAGTTTAATGCTTCTGAATCTTCTGCGGAGAAAACTCAGGAGCATTAACTGTATGTGTAGAAATGCCCACTGAGGTGTTGGGAAGAATTAAGTGCTGGTACACAGGTGCATATGGAGGTTTTGTGTTGGTTTCTTAAGTGTTTATAGCTGGTTAATGATTGACAACCAAATGAATCGGGTGACTCTTATGCTTCTACCTGAAGAGCTACTAAACAAAGAGAGAGCTGCCAAGGAGCAGGCAGATATAGCAGACATTCTTCATTAGCTTCAAAATGGCCAAGCACTGTTAAAAAGAGCAGAGGAGACCACGTAATGTTGGCAAAAGGATTAAGCTGCAAATGGTTCTCTATGAAGGAACCAGCAGAACGAGGTTGCAGACTGCAGCTAAGCCACAAAGGGCACAAACCAAAGTTACATTTTTCACACAATCGGCCCCCTGAAAGCGCTTTACAGCCATTCTGTGACACATGTGCACAGCTGCAGAATGCTTTTAAAGTCATCAATTGAGCAACAAATTATGCCTCGTCAAATGAGAGATCAGATGAAGTTTCCACTTTAGAGCACCTTAGCGAACTTGTGTTTCCTAGGGTTAATTTGTGGCACAATCAGGGTTGGGCTGATGTCGCCCAGCCCCACCTCCACCTCCA